GAAACACTTTATAAAACTCCTCTCTAGGGGAGCCTGCTCACGGCTACGTCCATCACACCCATCTCAGATAGCTCAGGAGTAGCTTTTAAAAATGGGAGCGGTGCTGTGGAGCAGCAGGCTAAGCCCTGGCCTGCAAAGCCGCATCCCACGTGGGCACGAGTTCTCGTCCCAGCTGTGCTGCTTCCAACCCAGCTCCCTGCCGATGCGCCTGAGGAGGCAGTGGGAGATGGCCCAGGCACTTGGACTCCTGACACGCACATGGAGACGTGGATGGAAGTCCAGGCTCCTGGCTTCCACCTGGCCTCGGGCCACTGCAGCCATCTGGAGAGTGAACCAGCACACGAAAGGTCGCTCTGCCTTTCAAATAAACAAACATTTTTAAAATTTTTAAAAATCAGACCCTCTCGTTTAATCTGCATAAACCAGAATTCACTGTGCTACTCTTCAAAACACATCTTAAATTAGCCATGTGAGCTAAAGTCTGTACAGTAATTATCAGTTCAAATCCAGCCTGAACAGGGCTGGCGCTGTGGCATAGCAGGTACAGCGACTGTCTGCAGTGCCGGCATCCCATGTGAGCACCAGTTCAAAACCCAGCTGCTCCTCTTCCCATCCAGCTCTCTGCTGTGGCCTGGGAAAGCAGTGGACGATGCCCAAGTCCTTGGGCCCTACACCCACGTGGGAGACCTGGAAGAAGCTCCTGGCTCCTGGATTCAAATCGGTGCAGCTCCCGCGTCATGGCCATCTGGGAAGTGAACCAGCAGATGAAAGACCTCTTTCTCTCTCCCTCACTCTGCCTCTGCCTCTCTGTTAACTCTGCCTTTCAAATAAATAAATCTTAAAAAAAAATCCAGTCTGAAGTTGGGCTAATCCACTTTCAGCGTAAGTTCCCAAACTGTGCTCCTAGGCTCATCAGGGGACCTCAGCGAAGCCCAGACACACCAAGAAACAGTTTTTTAAATTTACTTATTGAAAGAGACAGAGACAGAGAGATCTTCCATCCACTGGTTCACTCCCCAAATCGCCACAAGGGCCAGGGCTAAGCCAGGAGCCAGGAGCTTCACCCGGGTCTCCCACGTGGGTGCAGGGGCCCAAGCACTCGGGCCAGCCTCTGCTGCCCTCCCAGGTGCATCAGCAGGGAGCTGGACTGGAACCGGGGCAGCCAGGACTCAGCTGGCACCCACATGGGATGCAGACAGTGGCTTAATCTGTTGCGCCCCAGCACCGGTCCGCCAAGAAACATTTTAAGTCTGAGAGGGAACCAGCAAGCTTGAGGTGCACAGACCCCACCTGAGGTGTTCACAATTCACCACTCCACGCTCCACCTCTGTACCTGTCAGTGACATCACCACGGCCACCAAATGGGGCGACTGCTAACAGGCCAGTGCCACACCCACCCAGACGGCAGCGGCGTCCAACTGGTCCCACCTCGAGGAAGTCGGCCAGGGCCTGTTAGAGGCTCCCCGTGGAAATCCCAGTATTGCTTTCCTTCCAGCGTTTTATTCCTCACAGACTCACCAAGTCTGAGAACTGCGCGCTTGGTCAGCGGGACAGCAGGTGCTCCCCGTGGCCGGGGCGGCGTGAAGTCACTGGGACGCCTCAGCCCGCTGAGCAGAGACGATCCAGGGTCCGTCCTCAGCACTGAGCAGCCCAGGCCTCCCAGGGCTCACACACCACTCTTCCACACACGATCCCCAGACGGGCGCCGTACCTCCCTGTGTTTGCACGTGAGGTGCAGAGACGGCGGAACGCCCCAGGTCACGCGTGTAAGGCGCAGCTGTGGTGGAAACGGTACTGCTTCAGAGGAAACCGGTGTGTTTCGGCCTACGGCTCGCAGGGTACAGGTCGGGATGCGGCAGCCCCTTGTCTGGGCACAGTAGCACAGTGAGCCAGGAAACGGAGAACCCAGACCCAACCTAACTCAAGTGGGTCAGAGGGCGGGCTCCCAGCGACCTCGCCCCCCAACACACACCCAACCCTCGGGTCTCCACACCACCACATCAGGAGACAGGCAGGTCGGGGGAGTGTGCGGCCTCACCCCCGCACCTGTACTCTCGCAGGACAACGGGCCTCCAGGGAGCTACCGCGCCCGCAGCCACAGCTCCCTACCGGCCTGAGAACTCGGCGGGGACCCGCACTGCACCTGCGCTTGCCCATGCCTGACATTCCTTTTCTGGTCATCAAACGGACAGAGGTCCAGCAACAAGCACCAGTTTCAGGCCTGATGCAACTGGTGACCCTCTAACCACCTGCTGCTTCTGTCGCCGGCCCCTTCCCAGAGGACAAGGTCAGATCTGGAACCCCGCCCACAGGGACAGCAAGACGTGGCCAGTGAGGAGGCGCCGGGCAGCGGGCACGGCCACTCTCCAGATGCCGTCTCCGCCAGCCCACAAAGGACCACTGTCGCCCCCTGAACTCCCGCACACAGCCTCGCCTGGAAACGGACATCTTCATTCTCAACACAACGCCGGGACTGAGGGAGAAACTGTTAAAACTTACTGGGCACTTCTCAGGATCAGTCAACCACACGGCAGGTTTTTACACTGCTATGACCAAGAAACCACTCACCCAAGCCCACGTCAGCGCTGGCCAGCTGCGCACTGCGGCAGCTCCGTCCCAAGACAGTCCCCCGCACCAGGGGCCACCAGGCAGGAGGGTAAGGGACTTCGCACCAAGGCTAAAGTCCAGTGACACGCTAGGTCGCAGGGCCGGCGCTGTGGCGCAGCAGGTTAAGCTGCCATGTGGGACCCCCACATCCCACTTCAGGACACGGGTTCAATCCCGGCTGTGCCACTTCCCATGCAGCTCCCTGCCAACGCCACCTGGGAAGCAGCGGGTGGTGGTCCTGGTGCTGGAGTTCCTGCCAGCTACGGGGAAGATGGGGACGGAGCTCCTGGCTTTGGCCTGGCCCAGCCCTGGCGGCTGCAGCCGTCTGGGGAGTCTAACTCTGCCTTTCAAATAAATAAATGAATCTTAAAAAAAAAAAAAAACTCAGCACCACGGCTCACTAGGCTAATCCTCCGCCTGCGGTGCCAGCACCCCGGGTTCTAGTCCTGGTCAGGGTGCCGGATTCTGTCCTGGTTGCTCCTCTTCCAGTCCAGCTCTCTGCTGTGGCCCGGGAGTGCAGTGAAGGATGGCCCAAGTCCCTGGGCCCTGCACCTGCATGGGAGACCAGGAGGAAGAACCCGGCTCCTGGCTTCGGATTGGTGCAGCGCACCGGCCATGGTGGCCATTTGGGGAGTGAACCAACAGAAGGAAGACCTTTCTCTCTGTCTCTCTAACTCGGCCTGTCAAAAAAAAAAATAAATAACTCAGCAAACAACTTTTTAAACAATCTATTGTGTTTCCCGTAATCCATGGGAACCTGTCATTCTCCTCCGGGCACAGACTCCTCCGTGCGCCGGGTCCTCCTAACCTGCCAGCCACACCTGTGCCTCTCTCAGAGCGGTCGAAGCGCAGTTCCCACCAAAGCAAACGCTCTGACTTCTGCGGGGAAGTGGTAACACAAACGAGCAGCAGGCTGAGCGGGCGCCAGGGCAGTGTGGGGGGCAGCCTCCAAACAAGAGAACCACGCCCAGAACAAAGGGCGTGGGGCTCCAGACCCCAGCAGGTCCCCTGCCGGAGACCTGGACCCAGTGCCCAGATGCTGGCCGAGGACGCGGCTGCAGGAACTGGAGAGCGCCCCCCCCCAGACCACAGCTCCAGGAGGGGCGCGCGATAAGGACGGGGTGCCGGGAGCCGGGGCACCAGCGCTGCCACAGCTTCAGCTGAGTCCAAGAGAACCGAACTGTCAAGCCAGGCTCTCAACGTAGAAAAGTAAAACAGCTTTCAGGAGCAGTGATCCTTCTGCGTTCTTTAGGTCAGCTCTCAGCGTTTACTGACGCCAAGGCCTCTTCTGAGTCCAAAGGTGGCAAGGCTGGGGCTTCCAGGGGAGCGGCGAGCAGTGCACACCAAGCTCCTGTCACTCCCCGGGCTCGCCTGCAGGGAAGCCAGCTGCGCCCACGGGCCTGCCCGGGCCGGCAGAGTCCAGCGGAGCGCACCCCACGGGCCTGCCCGGGCCGGCAGAGTCCAGCGGAGCGCACCCCACGGGCCTGCCCGGGCCGGCAGAGTCCAGCGGAGCGCACCCCACGGGCCTGCCCGGGCCAGCAGAGTCCAGCGGAGCGCACCCCACGGGCCTGCCCGGGCCGGCAGAGTCCAGCGGAGCGCACCCCACGGGCCTGCCCGCTGCCTCCCGGGCCAGCAGAGTCCAGCGGAGCGCACCCCACGGGCCTGCCCGGGCTAGCAGAGTCCAGCGGAGCGCACCCCACGGGCCTGCCCGGGCCGGCAGAGTCCAGCGGAGCGCACCCCACGGACCTGCCCGCTGCCTCCCAGCCTGGCAGAGTCCAGCGGAGCGCCCCGCTCTCCCTTCGGACACACACTCGCACGGCGCCCGCGGACACTGCTGCTGCGCGAACCGAGGCGAGCTGACAGGTAGGGGCCACGCAGAGCGCTCCATCCCGCGCCGACACGCGGACCGCACCGGAGACGCGGAAACCCAACCGGCACGGAGCCCGGCTGCAGCCCAGAGCACCCGCACGTGTCCCCGGCGGCCGAGGGGGCAGGGCCCGCAGCGGCGGGGCACAGGGCCGGACCTCGCCAGGCTCCCGCGAGGTCCATCGCGCGAAGGCGCAGCGGCCCCGGGGAAAATGCGCTCCCGACCTCGCCGGGGAGCCCGGGACGAGGGAGACGCGCGCGCCCCGGGCCTGCACGGCCGCCGCTTCCGCCGCCCGGCGCCCGGACCCGCAACCGAACGCGCGCCTCCTCCCGAAGCCGCACAAATGCGCGGAAAGGCAGAACGCCGCCCTCGAGCCGCCGAAGCGCCCGGCGGCGCCCCGCGTGCGGCCCCCGCGCCCCCTCGCCCCGCACCGGCCCGGGCCACCTGTGCGCTCGCCGCCGCCCCGGCCACGCCTCCGGGAGGCCGGGGGCCCCGCCGCGGCCGCGCCCTCCCCGCCGGCACTCACAGGTGACGATGGGCTTGTTCTCCATGGTGTAGATCACCGGCGGCTGCGGCTCCTCAGCGGCGTCCATGGGCGTCCGGCGTCACCGGCCCGGCCCCCCGCGCCCCATGGGCGGCCCCGAGGCCGCGCCGCGCCCAGCCCGAGCCCGCGCCCGCGCGACGCCGCCCGCCAGGACCGCGACGCCCGCCCGGCCGCGCGAGGCAGCTCCGGAGCCGGCAGCGCAGCCGATGCCGCCCGCCGCCGGCCGCTGGCCGCTCCACTTCCGGCCTCGGGGCCGCCGCAGGACCACTTCCGGGGCGCGCGGCTTAAAGGGGAGGGCCCTGGCGCCTCGTGTCCTCCGACTGGAAGGCCGACGTCGCCGCGGGGCGGGCCGAGGAGGGCGGCGGGCGAGGGTTGCGGGCGACCCCGCGCGACGCGGGCGCGGCTCCTCGGGGGCTCGTGGGTCGCCGAGAGCGGCCTGCTCGGCTCGGCTCGTGGCCACCCGCCCTCCAAGGAGCACGACCGGGCGGGCTTCGCTCCGTGCACCCCACCCGGGCCTGGGCGGCTGGGGCCCCTGGCCGCGCCCTGCCCCACGGGGCTCCCACGGGCGAGACTGAGCCGCCCGCAGGTGCAGCGGGGTGCGCGCCGGCGCGGGCAGTGACACCTGCAGCCGTGGCCGGAGCCCAGGGAGGGGAAGGCCGAGGTCCTGGGCGCTTCCTGAGGGGCCTCGGCCGCAGCTGGGCCCCGGAAGTGGCCGCTGGAGGCCAGAGTTCAGGCAGCGAGGCGGGGCCCAGCCCCAGGCCGGTCTGGAGCCTCGGGTTCAGCAGGCTTTCCCTGCAAAGGCCCAGAGACTCGTCCGGTATTACGTTAGCAACTCTTTTTAAAGACTTTATTTGTTTGAGAGGTAGAGGCGGAGAGAGAGGTCTTCCACCTGCTGGTTCACTCCCCTAACGGCTGGAGCTGGGCCAGTCCAAAGCCAGGAGCTTCTTCCGGGTCTCCCACGCAGGTGCAGGGGCCCAAGGACTTGCGCCATCCTCCGCTGTTTCCCAGGCCACAGCAGAGAGCTGGATCGGAAGAGGAGCAGCCGGGACTGGAACCGGCGCCCATATGGGATGCCCGCTGCGCCCCGGCGCCGGCCCCAGGGACAACTCTTTAAAGAAAGCAGTTGTTAGCTCACGGCTACACAGGGACGGGCTAGATGTGGCCCGGGAGCCATGGTTATCAACCCCTGCCCTAAAAGAAGGCCTGGTCAAGCAAAGCTTGACACGACCGGCAGGAGGGAGGGAAACAGCCCAGCTGGACAGAGCAGAAGCCACACCCACGCAAGCCTGGGAGACCCGAGGGCGGCTGAGCCGTGAGCTGCGGCAAAGCCCAGGACTGCGGGGGAGATGACCTCAGGCCCTCCGGACATGAGAGACCGGGAAACGTAGACCGTCCTCAAGGTGACAGCGGCCAGTAGACACCAACAGCCGGGGCCCGGCTGTGACACTTACAGAGGCCGGTGCAGCCGTGGCCAGTGTGTCCCCGTGGCTGAGTGGAAACGAAAGGAGCCCGCGATCTTGAGGACGGAGGAGGAGAACTGACCCAGCGTGGGAGACCAGGACGGGCTGGGGGGAGCGGGCGGGTGTGGAGCCGCCCCGGCCCTGCTCGCGACGCCGGCCTCCCACGTCAGCTGCCGGTGCAGCACTCTGCTGATGCCGCCCCCAGGAAGCCGTGGATGGTGGCCCAAGCACCACGTGGACGGCCCGAGTGCAGTTCCAGCCTCCTGGAGTGGTCCCAGCTGTTGTGACCGCGTGGGGAGTGAACCAGCAGGTGGGAGTTGCTTCTCCCCCCCCCTTCCCTCTCTCAGCCTTACAAATACACTTTTTTCTTTTCTTTTCTTTTTTTTTTTTTTGACAGAGTGGACAGTGAGAGAGAGACAGAGAGAAAGGTCTTCCTTTGCTGTTGGTTCACCCTCCAATGGCTGCCGCGGCCGGCGCACCGCGCTGATCCGATGGCAGGAGCCAAGTGCTTCTGGTCTCCCATGGGGTGCAGGGCCCAAGCACTTGGGTCATCCTCCACTGCACTCCCTGGCCACAGCAGAGAGCTGGCCTGGAAGAGGGGCAACCGGGACAGAATCCGGCGCCCCGACCGGGACTAGAACCCGGGTGCCAGCGCCTCAAGGCGGAGGATTAGCCTAGTGAGCCGCGGCGCCGGCCTACAAATGCACTTTTAAAAGAGAGAGACAGAGGAAAAGGCCTTGGCGGCCTCACACACATGGAGTACCAGTACCTGGAGAAGAAGAGATAGGCCGGGAGGGGGCAGTTGAAAAATAATGCCCAAAAATCCAGACGCTTGGTGAGAAACTTATGTACAAATAAGAAACGTAGCCAGACTTGAGGGGGATCCTTGCAGAGGAAATGAAGCCGACACAGCACAGCCCAAGGCTGAAAGCCGCGGAGAAAGGGCCAACGTTCCAGGCGAGGAGGCGGCCGTGCCGGGCCGCGCCTGCACGCCGACCCTTCCTCAGGAGGCGGCACGTGGGACTCCGTCTCGCGCTCCTGTTTGGAAGCTGATGGAGCTTGAACTCGCGGGGCCTTTCCTGGCGCCCACCGCGTTGTCTGCAGGCGGCGAGAGCCTGCTGCGTTATGCATCGGGTTCTGCAGAGGCTGGACACGAAGGGAGCCCCAGTGGGGCCCCTCCCCAGCAGGCACGTTCACGTCCGCCCAGCACCTTCCACAGGACGAGGGCCACGGGCCGCAGCTTGGTCAGCACGTGCCGTGGGACAGCTCTCCAAGGAACCCCAAGCCCAAAGCTCCCGGATCTCGTGGGTCCGCCTGCAGGACATTCTTGAAATAACAGAACTGTCGGTGTGGATCCAAGAGCGGTGTGTGCTGGGAGCGCAGGGTATGGGGTGGGGAGGGAGGGGGGTGGCAGGAGGGACCCTGGGACTGGATGGGATTGGTGGCAGTATCTGGTGGTGGTATTGCCACGGTTTTACATGGTGTCACCCCTGGGGGATGGCAACTCCTCTGTCTCTGAAAGATTTATTCTTTATTTGAAACGCAGAGTTAGAGAGAGCGAGCGAGAGAGAGCGAGCTTCCATTGCCGGTTCACTCTCCAAGTGGCCACAACAGCCAGAGCTGGATCAGGCGGAACTCAGGAGCCAGGAACTCCCTCTGGGTCTCCCTCGTGGGTGGCGGGGGCCTAGCTACTTCGGCCCTCTTCCCCTGCTCCCCCGGGGAGCTGGTCGGCACGCGGCCTCAGCGCCAGCCGCAGCATTTCTCGCCTGCACGTGGAGCGCACAGGGAAAAGGTTACTTTGTAAGGACGAGTTTTCAGATAAGCCGCAGGTGAGTGCGCGGTGGGTGCTCCAGCACGTCACCCGCGCTTCCTCCCCACGTTCCCTCCCCTGGTGTCTCGGGAGCACCTGTGTGCCTGGCACTGGGCCGGACAAGGCACACGGGAGCCGGGCCCGCTGGGCCCCGCCTCTCCTCATGTGCGTTTCTGCCGTGCACTGAGCCGGCACTTCCACGAACAACACCCTCGGGGAGCAGTGGTCCACAGAGGGGGAATAAGACAGAAACAGCCGGCCTGGCGAGCAACCGTGGATTGCCAGGGGAACGCTCTCTTTCCTGATAACTAACAAAAACTTACTGGACGGGAAGAGAAAAGCCCAGATGGTGAAGGGATTGGGCAAGCGCTCTGCCCACCTGCACAGACCCAGACGAAGCCCCCGGCTCCTGGCTTCTGCCTGGCCATGGCGGCCATGTGGGGAGTGAACCAGGGAATGGAAGATTCTCTCTCTCTCTTTCCCTGTAACTCTTTCAAATAAATAAATCGGGGAAAACAGGAATGGCTCACAGGCTGCAGACAGCCCCCTCCCCTTTCCCCACTGACGTCAGAATGGAGCCACAGCGTGGGCAGGGGCAGGGTCTGCAGCAGGGCAGGGACGTGTGTGTCCACGGCTCCCAAGTCTGCTCCCTCGGCTGAGAGCAGGGACCGCGGTGGCAGCAGGTCTCCCGTGCGGCTGTCCCACCGGGGTTCCGTGGCTGTTTTCTCCTGCGCCCACTCCCGCCCAGTCCCCCACGCACACTGCTGCTGTGGCGGGGCGCGGAGCCGATGCCCTGGGCCCGGGTCCGAGCCTGCACGGTGCAATTTAAGGAAGACAGCAGGAATGAAACCAGCCCTGGCGCCGTGCACGGCTTTCCGGGCACTGTGCTCATGCTCCTATTTTTAACTCGCTGGCCTTTTTTCTTGGCTCCCAGGCAGTCTGGGTTCTCGCTCCCTCACTCCAAGCAAGGTTACACCCTGAGAGTTCGCGGGTCCTCACTTGAGTCTGCACCGTCGGGGCAGGGAGGGGACAGGCCTGCCCCTTGGGAGGCCTCACCACGCTCCTTTCCCCAGCTCCCCACAGGCCCAGGGAGCTGCCTGCAGCCCTGGTGGCAGAACCCGTGGCTGGCTTCGCCAACAGCTGTCACGCCAGCTCCTGGCACATCTCATATTGGAGTGATGGGGGCCGGGAGGGTGGAGGGGGCACCCAGGGAGGGCCCAGCCACGCAGCGCGCTCACCTCCAGGGGACAAAAGCATGATGCCAGAGGCCGGAACCAGGAGTCAGCCAACTCGGGTCTCTGCACATCTTCCTATGTAACTGGGACAGTGGAAACTCGTCCAGCCACGGCGGCCTGCTCGGCGACAAGTAAGCAACCCAAGCAGATGCATCGGCGTGCCAGGCCACGTGCCCCCACCTCAGCTGCTGTCGGGCATGGCTGGGGTCCCACTGGCACCTGCTGGGGACCCCATTTTTCTGCCCTAGGCCCAGGACCTTCCCGCAGAGCCCAGAAGCCAGCTGAGCCAGGGAGTGCCAGAAACAGACACTGAGGGCCTTCCCTCGACAGCGGGGCCAAGGCCCAATCCTCCCTCGCTCACAGCCACACCGTGCTCAGCTTCTCGGGGGCCATGGAGGGCTGAGCCCAGGCAACCTGCTCAGGGACAGTCCCCGGGCGGCCCCTTGTGCTTTGCCTCCGCCCCCACCCTCTCCTCTCTCTGGGACCCCCTACAAGCCGCACCTTGCACCATAAAGGGTGTCCTGGTCCCCGCTGCCGTCCAGCGCCCGCCCTGGGAGGGGCACCAGGGACGGCACCGGCAGTGTCACTGCCGCCCTGCAGCTCTGCTGGCTCCAAAGCTGCTGGACAAAGGGCTTTTGGACATCAAACGTGTGTCCTTCCAGCAAATGGGGAAGCAGCGTTTGGAGCCCGCGGGCCCAGAGGGACCCAGGGTT